AATAAAGGCCCCTGGTGTAAAATACAAGAGTTTCTGACAACTAGTAAGTAAATTCTTATCTATTGAAAATAATTTCTTTCTTGTTAGCATAAGGTCCATAGGCTTAAAGAAAAATTTTCATGGTATAAATAATACTAAAATATACTAATTATGACAATTCCAGAAAATTCCCAAGTGAACTAGATTATAGAATAAAACGCTTGTTTGCAGATGCTGCAACTATAGTTTTGATCCTTTTTACCTCAACATCTTGGTGGTTGCTAAAATCAGGCAGCAAAAGTATAATAGAATAAAAAAAAAAAGATTCTGCAGACAGGGAAAATTTCCACACCTATGTATTACAGAAGCATTAAGGCAATATAAGTACCAGAGATTAGGCAGAATGAAAGCAGATCAACAAACAGTTGTCATGTTCTTCATATTATATGTGCTCTATGGCCTGTTCCTAGTGAATCAGCATATTCTGGGAAGCATAAAGCAAATTGGGGTCATGCTTGGTGTTTATTCCTTTAGCAATTTTTTTTTCAATTATAGTTGACATTCACTATTATTTTCTATTAGTTTCAGGTGTACAGCATAGTGCTTAGACATTTATATAATTTATGAAGTGATCCCCCACCCCATACGTCTCCTTTAGCAAATTTACTGGCTACCTAGTGTATTATAACCTCTGCTGTGAGCACTTTCTTATAGCAGGGCATGAACAAGTTCCTGTTGTCATGCAGCAGGCATGCAAGTGGAACAAGACAGAAAATACACACATAAGCGATTGCTAATTAGCATGCTTAGGCACTCACTCACCAGCACTCACTCACAAGATGCAATGTGTGAATGTGGAAATTAATAAGTGAGGTGAAGTGGAGGAAAAGATTATCTCTTAGGGAGGAAATTAGAAAGTAGATGGTGGGATGTTTCATTCAAATGGTTACTGGCATCCAAATGGATGAGAAATTTGTTAATAGTTATAGTGAGAGTTCAGATGAAGGGGAAGATTGTCAACCAGAAAATAAATCTTTAATACGAATGTCAGAAGATGATTGCTGTACTAGAAAAAGGAAAGGGTGACACAACTAAAGACCATGTCTTCAAAGAAGAGTTTTTGATTTGTTTGAGTTTGGGGAGGATTGCTTGCTTACCTTTTTTAACACAAGGTTTTACCAACCCTGGATGTCATAATATGGGGTGAGAATAAAAATACCAGGCCCATCCACACTCCTGACACTGACGTTTTTGATGTTAGAATAAACAGCCCTCACTTAAGCACACAGCAAGGAAATTCCCCAGAGGCCTACATGGTTCAAGTATAGTGAGACAGAGCAGGTTTCTCTTGACACGGTAGGACATGTGTGTCTAGAGCTTCCACCTTCTGAATATATGTTGTACTTAACAAACACAGCATAGAACACATGACTCTAAGGGTCTTCAGGCAGAAGTGTGGAAGACAAATAGCAACTAACCCCTCCCATCTACACCACAGCCCTCCCATCACACCCCCTGCTGAGCAAATCAAAGGGATCTCATCAGCTCATTATTAGGAGCATAGTAATTGCCAAAATCAATCAACTCCAACTTAGTCCTATTATCTAACAGACAGTGGTGGCAAAATATTTGCTTCAGAACAAAAACAACAAAAAATGGTTGTCCAACTCATTGGTTTTCCTTCTGTTTGCCTCTCATTTCTATTATTGCTCTGCTAATGTCTTGAGATGAGTTGTCTGTTCCTTACACATTATACATAGCAGTATAGTAGCCCCCCTTATCCACAGGGTATACATTCCAAAACTTGCAGCAGATGCTTGAAACCGAGGATAGTACTGAACCCTATATATACTGTGATTTTCCTATACAAACATAGGATAAATTTTAATTTATAAATTAGGCACAGTAAGAAATTAACAACAATAATAATAAAATTGAACAATTGTAATAATATACTGTAGTGAAGTTACATGAATGTGGTTCCTCCCTCAAAATATTTTATTATACTGTATTCACCCTTCTTCTTGTGATGATGTGAGATGACAAAATACCAAACCTATTCCTGAACCTGTGTAAGTATTCTTGCAGGAAATGGCTTGGTGTCACTCATTTCCGGGGAGCCCTTGCTGACGTCTTTGTATAGGCTCCATGCTTTCTGTCACAACAGGTTGCCCTCAGTCAGAAAAAGTTTCCTGTTTATGTCATCCACTCCCAAATTTAATGCCTTTTCCATCTTAACTAAGCACTCATCACACACTGTGGCCATAAATTTTGCAGTTTGATGTGCAGCAGAAACACCAACACAAATTGCTTTTTTCCTTCTTCACTTCATAGATAGAAAATTCCTTCTTACTGTAGATCTTAGCAACCTCAGCTAAGATCTTTTCTTTATTAAGTCAAGAACTTCCTTTATTAAGTTTTCTTTCTTTTATTAAGTCAAGAATTTTCACTTTTTCATTTAAAGGAAGAATTTTATGGCATATCCAAATTGCCAGCATAATTAATCTTGCGCTTTGGGGCCATTATTAAGTAAAACAAGGGTTACTTGAACACAAGGACTGTGATACCAGGACAGTCCATCTGATAAGCAAGATGGCTACTAAGTGAGGAAGGGTTGGGGAGGTATACAGCGAGGATATGCGGACAAAGGGATGACTCACATCTAGCCTGAGATGGAACCGGAAAGGCAAGATTTCTTTATGCTATTCAGAATGACATGCAATTTAAAACTTATGAATTGTTTATTTCTGGAATTTTCCATTTAATATTTTCAGACTGTAGTTGACCTTAGGTAGCTGAAAGAGAAACCGTGGATAAGGGAGACTACTGCATTTCTCTTTATTTATGTCAAATATCTTATAGGGCCAGCCGAGTGGCTCAGTTGAAGAGCTCTCTCAAGAGCTTGAGCTCTGAGCAACAGCGGTTCAATTCCCAGCCTGAGCTGAGCAGCCGCTGAGCTGCCAACAGGTGGCAGGATGGCTCAGCTTAAAAAAAAGAAATAATACTTTATGGAAGCGATAAAATATTTGATATTATAAATTTAAGTTTAGGATTATGTTTAAATGCACTGAAAGACGCATAGAATTTTATATTCTATGGATGAAGAATGGATGCATAAGTCAGATTCCTCCAAGGAAAAGTTCTGTGCACTAGAAAACTCACTTGTATTGTTGCCACAAAGTGTGAGGAAGAGAAGCTGGCAATTCATACATTGTCTATTAAAAATAAATCAAGTGGGGCCGGCCGAGTGGCGCGATGGTTAAGAACTGGCTTGGGACGCCAGAGGGCCCCGGTTCGGATCCCACATATGAGGGCCAGTGACACTGCCCTCTACAGCTAAGATGCTGAACAACAGCTCACCTGGAGCTGGGCTGCCGTGAGTCGCTGGAGACGGCGTAGGCTGCAGACCCTGTGGCAGTGGGTTGCCATGGGCTACCGTGTGTAGCCAGCAGCTACTGTGTGTAGCCAGCAGCCAGCGTGAGCGGCCAGCAGCCAGCGTGAGCGGCCAGCAGCCGCAGTGAGTGGCCGTCCAGAAGCCGGCGACTGATGTGCCTCGCCTGGGAAGAGCGCAATGATGGTGCCAACTTGAGCCAGTGAAGCAACGTCCTCCACAACTAGACTGAAGAACAAAACAACAGCAACTTGTCTGTTCCCCTTCCCCCAATTCCCCAGCACTGTTCCTATCCCCCCAATTCCCCAATAAAAAAATCTTTAAAAAAAAAATAAAAAAAAATAAATCAAGTGGATGTTTGACAATACAAAATAATTGTTAGCTTTTAGGCATGATAATCGTCTTGGGTTATATTTTTAAGTCCTTATCATTCAGAGACATACTAATGTGTTTTTGAATAAAATGATATGATATCTGGACTACTTTTAAGCTAATTCAAGATGGGAAAGAGTATACAGATGAAACAAGATTGTCTATGTGTTGACAATAATTGAGGCTGAGTATATAGGAGTTTATTATACTTCCTTTGTATTTTTGTATGTTTGAAATTTTCATAACAAATGTATAATTTAAATGAACAAAGTACATGTAACAGAACTTTTCTGTGAATTATGGATGAAACACGCTATCCCTGACATGGTTTGCACAGAACCAGTGTTAGCTTCGTTCCACTTTACTCCTCTGCTCTACACCTTGGAATACAAAATTTGAATCTCTTATAAATACACGTGACTTCTTTTCCCTTTTCCTCATTCTTGTTATCTTTTCTTGGTGTGTTGCAGAAATGTTTTTTTTTTTAAGGAAACTGTACCTTTTCCGAACAAGATAGGATTATAAAGTGAATGTTCTGTAGTGTGACAACATTTTCCAAACTTCCTTTGGGAAGAAAGAAGCTTCAACAGCTCTTCCGTTCACTGCCAAATTACTCTGTTGCCCTCCAGTTTTTCAAAAATTCCCCAAGTGCATAATTTTTCTTCTGCCCCACTTTTTAAATACACCAGAGTGGAAAAGGAATCTAGATTATCGTAGCTCCAGCCCATTTTTCCATTTTTTTCCTAAACAGCTGCACACCTACACACACACACACACACACACACACACACACACACACACACACACACACACACCCTACAATGATGTCCAGATATGAATATTGCAGGCTGACACATTTGCCCCTGGCAAGCTCCACTGGGGCAGCTAGGCACGGGGAGAGACAAAGCAAGGAGGTAAAGAACCCGAGTTTGCAGCCCCGCTTTCTCACTCTCCCTGTCTTCTCCCTCCTGTTCTCATTCCACCTTCCCCCCTCCACTCCCTTACTACCTTCCCTGCATCCCTTCATCCCGCCTCTCCATTTCTTCAAGCCCTGGCCCTCTTCCCGCTCCACCTCCTCACGGATCCCTCTCTTCTCTTCCCTTCCCTCCCGACAGCAGCTGGCAGAAAAGACGCCGCAGCTGCGGCCGTTCCTGCTGCTGTAGCCGCTGCAGCCGGGTTCTGTCAACATCACCACGCCCACGCCGGGTCTGGTCGAAGTCGAGCACAGGCCTGGAGATGAGGGCGGGGAAGAAGGTGGTGTGGCTGGGAGAGGGGAGGGAGTAGTGGGAAAGATACAAAACCAGCTTCCAGGCGGTGGGCGCGGCTCCACTGCGCAACTGGCAGGAGGGGGTCTGTGGGTCAGAGGCTGGGCAGCAGCCCCAGAGGCTCGGTTGCTAGCTGGCAATTCAGTGGGGCCGTTTACTACCTAGCCTTCGTGGCCTGGGTGGCATCTGCTTGTGAAGGGCAGCCAGCCTAGCAACACCTTCTAAGCAACCACAGCCCAGGAAACCAGAGAAATCAGAAAGAGGAGCCCAACAGGAGAAAAGGGCTGCAAGGAGCCCCTCTTCTCAGGGTTCCCTGAGGTGCTGGTGGAGACCCCTCACATGGTAGCAAGTAAGTGCCTTTTTCTTGCTGTGTGCCCAGTCCTAGGATGATAATAGCCGCCATCTGCTGCCAGTCTTTCCCACCCATCCCATGCCAGCCCCACCCTACACAGACCCCTAGGTGCCCAGCAGGAGATTAAGATTCTGGACATAAATTAAGAGAGCTACTTCCAAGAGCAGCAGTGGCCTGTGGTTGTTCGCTCGGCACTGCATGTGTGGTCAGTTTTCTCATCCCACCAGGTAAGCTTCTGAAACCAAGATGATCTGTGAGTGTAAAATTTCTAGAAACCCTATATGGCAGTGGTTTTTAGGTTACATGACACAATGATAGAATCGAAGGAGTAAAAATGTATGCAGGATGGAGGATAACATCTAAGGAATCTCGTCTTTTATTCTGAGTAACTTAGTGATTTCAAGAATGGTGATTTTCATGTAAGAATTGACAGTATAAAATTAGAGGCATGCATATGAATGGGAAATGGTGTGCCCAGTTTAAACCACTGGGAATTTTGGTATCTTTTGGATCAACAGGTTTGTTTGTTTGTTTGTTTTTTATTGTTTAGCTCTGTAAAATGCATACCTTCGGGAGATTTTCTTTTAGAGGTGATGATGTATTCATGGTGACTCTGGCTATATGTTGCCTCCAATAGTTAGGCTCTCAGGACCTAAAGCAGGACCAATGATGACTACAGGTAGAATGACACACTGATGGAAACGATGTAGGCAAGTTTGGATACTGGTCAGAAAAATCTCTTGAAATGGGAAGGAGTTTGGGTGGTGCTTTCTGTGGATATTTTTTCTCCCTGGCTATCTTTCAGGAGAGTAGTTCATGGTAAAATAGATGGAAGCTGGGCCTTATAATAAACAGAACATTGGGCACCAGACCTCCCCTGATGAACCCTAATTAAAGTTATGTAAAGAAGATAAGGCCCATGAGGCGTAATTAGCCGGTAATTACCTAGCTAATCAATGATGAGCTGGAAGTCCAATGAGGAAAACTTTGGAATTTAGAATGATAAAGCTTGATTTCCATTTTTATGAAAATGCAGCAAATTATTTAACTTTTGATTAAGCTTTATTTTTCTCATTTTTAAATGAAACATCGAAAACTTACATATCTTGGTAAGGACTAAATGACAGAGATTACATGAAGGGTTTCTTGAAGGTAATATGTGTAACTATTGCTTATAAAAGGAATTGTTCTGTGTTTTTATCCATGTCATTATTCTAACTCTCATTTTAAGTTCAATATACGAATAAAAGGGGCTTTGACAGGTCTCACTAGACTGCACTAGAGGCAGAGGTATTCAAATGCAGGTCAGGATCTCTTGCCGCCTGTACTGTTTAAAGTATATTCTAACCTAGGAGCTTCCATCCTCACAGAATTGTGTGCTTTAGCTAACACTTCATATTTAAGTACCTTTGGATACTCTCAAAATATGTTTTGCACTCTCATTTTAGTTTTAAATTTTGCTTTAGGTATGTGGTGTTACTTCCTTGGGGTGAAATCATTGAATATGTTGGATATTGCTGAATTTATTTGGTCCATTAATTAATACATGAGAAATCAAAGTTTAGGTATAAATACTTGACTTTTGACTGCTAGGGTTCATTAAAACCCTGCACTCAGGGGAGAGGTACTGTGAGCCCTTTCTTTCCCATCAATGTGTTTAAAACAGTAGGAGAAAAACCTAAAATTGGACATAGGCTCAGGACAAGGGACCAACAGATCCCAGGTGACATGGACAGGCCCCAGGACCTGCCACTGCATACCGGTCTCCGTTGGAGAGTGGGCGGTAGGGCGCATACCTGGGAACTGGGCCTCCTGTCTCACAGCCTCCTGTGGGAGAAGCTCTGGTAGGAAAGTGGATACAAACTCCAGTAAATTTTGACCAGGGAGGATAAACACACTGGAAGCACACTGGAAAAGAAAACAAGAGTATTTTGCTCAATCCTTACTTAGGGAAGAAGTATGCTACTATACCCCTGCCCTAGATCTCATTATGACAGGATCTGTACCACAACTGGGGCACAGAGACTGACCCACAGTCCTATGCCTACCACCGTAGACTGCCCCTTGAAAGTTTATGGTGAAGGTATTAGCATAAAAGGAACATTCTTGATTTCTGAGAGCCTGGTCCCATTATTTCCACTCACCAACATAAAGATTGGTCAGCTGGGAGAGGACATCTGTAAACGCTGCCCACCCTGACTAGCTCACCCATCATCCTATGACACTGGCTTATACAGACAGATCTCATTTTTCCCTGAGTTGGTCTCCTTCTCTTCTGTTAGTGTGCGCTAACCAAGGCCAGGTAAGCAAGGCTCACCTCCACAACACTGAAAGAGGGAACCTGTAAGCCTGAAGAGACAGTTTTCAACTGATCACTTCTGGGGATGTTTTTCAACTGATCCCTATCCTCTGGCCCAGCTGGGATTGTGATTTCCATGTTCCATTTGTTCAATCCTTGCTATTTCTAAACCAGGCTATTCTGGTTATACACCATGTTGATGGGCGTACCCCCGTTTGGCAAACAGATATCCCTGTTGTAGGCACAGTATTTCTGTCGAATTGACTCGGCCTGCTGCTGGCTGAGGATAACCAGCTATGTGGTGGCAGCCAGGTGCCAAGCTGATTGTATCAGCATCAAACAAGAGCTTGATGAGAATTCTGAAGCTAAGGCCCTGCCCAGGGCAATACAGGTTTTAAAAGTCTAAAATTAGGATGGGGTATTTGGTTTTAACCTAGAAAATCAGAGGATGATGATTTGGGGGCTATAGTCCCTCGTTGAACATATGGTGTTGAGTGGAATATTCCTTCCCTTCTGCTCTAAATGCCAGAGTGAGGCTCTGAGTTCTCCCAGAGGCTGCATGGTCTAAGCACTTGAGTACAGGTTATAACATTGGCTCTCATCCATATCTAGCCTTGCCCTAATATATTCCAAGGCTTCTTTCTGGCTTCTCTGAAATTTGAGACGTGGTCGGTATCTCTGTTTGGTTTCGCATTTGAAAAGCTAGAGTAGTTTTGGGGGTGGCAGTAAATCAGACCAACCCTTCAAGAGTGATCAGGAGTAGAGGTAAATCGCCAGCGTTAGGAGGCCTTCAAGGTTCCAATGGATATACCTGCTCTGGATTTTATATTATTTTTTTAAATTTTATATTCCACAGATCCAGTGGCATCTAAAACCATAGGTCAAAAGGTCTCAGGATTGCCGCTCATTATGGAAGTTACATGCATAACAAAGTCTCCTTTGTAATACTCTAACAGGGGCAACAATACATTTTTCCCTCTTGAGCTCTTAAATGGCCTCTAGCCAGATTTTTCTTGTCAAGAGTCTTACTGACTAGGTTCACAGAACAGCTAGTTCTGGAAAGATTTCTGGCCTTTCCCCAATATTCTTGTTTTGGTGGGCTGGGCTGGGCAGGCGCAGCTTGGAAATAGTTGTCAGATCCGCAGAAACAAGGGACCCTGCTAGTGAACCATGAGGTTGCCATAGAGCAGCTCAAGTGGGCATACTTAACACCAAGACAGCTTTTCTTCATGTTCCTGGAACCCCTTCCCTGCCTCCATTGTCTTGCCAGTCACAATGGCTCACCCTGGTGAGACTGTCTCTCACAGAGACTTACTGTGTCCTACCTCCCCTCGAGGCACCAGAACATCCGCTGAGCTTTCCTTGGGCTCATACTTGTACGTGAATTTGAGACTAGACACGAAGACTTTGTCATGCGACATTTGTCCAGATCACTTCCCCTCAATATAAGTTGTACCATTCTGAACGCATACGATCTGCACTCCTCCTCCCTGGAAAGAAGACATTTGCAAAGACCTCAGCTCTTGATTATTTTAATGAACCCAACAGTAGAATCCAAGTTTACCAGATTTTGAGGCGAATTTCAGTTCTCAGAAGAGAGCTTTTTATTTGAGGAGAGATGACATCTGCCCCTTTGGTTTTTGCTGGTGCTTCTTTACAAGACTGTTTTCCTAGTTTTTGAATCCAGAAGTCCGCCTGGATTAAAATTCCTCAAAAATATAATAAAAGCAAAATGGCAATACATATTTACATTTTTAAGAAAATTATCTACAATTTTCCTCTGCAAGATGACATATTCTAGGAATGTGTTGGCTGAGATTGTGAGTGAGGCAGTGGAGTCCAGAATTAAGCGGATATGTTGAAGCCAAAATAGGCTGACCTGGGAGCAAAAACAGCTGCAGGCAGAATCCAGGTCCAGGGACAAAGGGAAAGAAAAGCAATTAAGGCAGGCCAGATAGACTGTATTCCCAGAAGAATTAAAGAGTAGGAGTCAGATCATCAAAGTTACACAGGAAGTAAGTAGCTCAAGTGGAAAAATAATCCCAAAGCAGAAAAATAAGTAGGTTGAAGTAAAGGGGAACAGACAGCTGCAAAATTCCAGGTGGATGGATGACATTCTGGTCAGTCTGTCCTTTAATCCCAAGCCTTCAGGATGTAAGCTTTCCATTTCTGGATTTCAGTAATACATACATGGTATATTACGTTCAAGTAGCATAGAAACATTAACCAGAAAGCGAGAGAATTCCCTGATACCTTTTCAGTTCCTCCCCATAGATACAGCAGTTTAGTTCCTTCCAGGGAGGAAACCTTATGCAGGTGCTAGCATGAATAACGCTATGTATGTAATCCTTATAGAATATTCTATTCAAAGGTCAACAATGGAAGCCATTCTCAACATTATGTTTTTCACTAAATAATTTACTTGGGGAATCTTTCCATATGAGCACAGATATATCACATTTTTCATGATTACTAAATAGAGTTTCATGATAGCAACCAATTAGAATTTATGGTATTAGCTCCTTGGATGGACACTTTGATTGTTTTCAGTCCTTGAAATTATAAGTATGTTGTGATTACCATCTTTGCAAATATGACTTCTCAAACTCAGCAAGAATATTAATAGGACAGTTTAATTTGGGGGCCAAAGAGTACATGTAAATTTGTTTTAGAAACTGTTGACAATCAGTATTTCAGA